GGGGTGGGGGAATTGCATCAGAGATCACTGCAGACATTATTAGCTGTATGCTGAGTTGCATGACTCCATATGCAAAGTAGCCATGTCTATGGTGACTTCATAATTTGGGGCATTTTGCCTCCAAAAGCAGTGCCATTTGTGTTAATGCTGGCATAACCAGGCAAGAGGATTTTGGCCATTATGTTCCCTTTCCTTAATAAGCAATGGCAGCACTGGCAGGCGGGGGGGGGAGGGGGAATCTATCACCTGGTTGCTTGGCAATCTGAAGTCTGGAGCAAGTTCTCATCAGCTCCATGAGTCAGCAGAGGATTTAAAATCAGAGTCTTTCTGGCACTTGTTGCCGCCGCTGCAGCCAATGAACATGATGTCACAGCAGCTATAAAATATGTCTCATTAAACTTTCTCCTGTGTTGCCTTGAGGATTGAATGGTCCATTCCAGTGCTATAGTTCAGTGACTCTATGGCTGGAATCTCATTTATGGCTGTGTAAAGTTTGAGAGTCCCCTGGACTGCAAGGAGAACAAACTTATCCATTTTGAAGGGAATCAGCCCTGAGTGCTCACTGGAAGGACAGATCCTGAAGCTGAGGCTCCAGTACTTTGGCCATCTCATGAGAAGAGAAGAATCCTTGGAAAAAACCTTGATGTTAGGAAGGTGTGATGGCAAGAGGAGAAGGGGACGACCGAGGATGAGATGGTTGGACAGTGTCACCGAAGCAACCAACATGAATTTGACCCAACTCCGGGATGCAGTGGAAGACAGGAGGGCCTGGCGTGCTCTGGTCCATGGGGTCACGAAGAGTCGGGCACGACTAAACAACTAAACAACAACAACAAAGTTTTCTAGGTGTAACTTTGCTGGGTATTATGCCCAGGCAATACAGATTACACAATTTGCACAACCAAGTGCATTATTCCATTTGAACTGACTGCCCTAAGTGCTAGCAGACATGCTTCATGGATAACCCCTCCAATTAGGCACTATTACAGCTATCATGGACGTTATGTGGAGTTATGCCCATGAAACTATGCAGCAATATTCCAGCCTACAGTTTTGATTCAAGAAGAAGCAGAAAAAGCTCTTTAAGGCTAAAGCCCTAAGCATTTCCCGACCTAAATCCCAGTGAAATCAATGGGAAATTATTTATAGATAAGGACTGTTTTGGGATTTCCTCCCCCAGTTTAAAATTTCTTTTCCTTTCCTTTGGGACATCTTCAAACCTTGAGCTTTATCCAGGTCCTGCAGCTACCTTCCTCTTGTGCATAGGTGTTGTCAGTTTGTCTACATAGGTCATGGATGGCTCTTGGAGTTTACATCTCAGTGAGAGAGACACTGATGTTCCCTGTAGCTTATCAAGATATGAGGCAAGTCAGCCAGTCCACTAATGGTAGCATCTCCTTCTGTGTGTATGTTTACAAGTTTGTGTTTGCATATGCAATATAAGTGATTTTATATACTGGACCTGTATGCAGTGACGTGCTGTGTGCCTGGCCCCAAGTAAAAATGATATCTTGTGCCAGAGGTTATGCCCAGTGCCTTTCTTTTGCTGAACTGCAGCCTGAAGTGTGCAAAGTTCAGATCACAAAAAGCCTGCCTAATGAGGGACATATTGGGATTAGTAGGAAAGAGGTGACAGATGGACTAGAGACCAAAGTGGCTCAGGTCATATGCCAGCCTTTCCCCTAAAATGGAAGCATTAATTTCCCAGCCAGACCAAGGACATTAAGGGAGCTTTCTGGCAAGGGAGCAGATGTGTAAAGCAGAGGAAAATTGCTGGCGAGGCATTTTGGACGTAGGGGCTTATGCTGTTCGGGCTGAGACGTCCTCCTTCTAGTCACCTCTGGGATTCCTAGGTTGAATAAGAAGGCAACTCTGCTTTATTTTATATGGCACTGTAGTGTTCATTCAAAATGTGTCTCCAGCTACTTAGAGAGCTAATAGGCTTGGCAGAATCATCAATAATGCAAGTCAAAAAGCAAGGCAAGTGGATTAAGTATATCCATTAGAACACATTGGTTGATACTAGAAAATATCAGGACCACCCAGAGGCAGGTGGGTATATAAAATCCATATGGAAGAAAACTCCTACAAATGGTGACAATAACGCAGAGGGATTTATTAAGAAAAAATACAGCAACAACAACAACAACAAAACAACCTTTGCTGATTAGCTGAGAGAAGCAAAAGATATATATGGACGAACTCATTTGTATCGAAGCAATATTAATTCCCTTAATGCAGGCACTTAAACGCAGAAAATGAATTCAATATCTTGATAATTGTTTTTAAAAGCAAGTTTCTACACCTTTTTAAGGCTGCAAAGAGAGGCTTTGAGAGTGTGACGGAAATACCTCAGGACTTTTATGAGCCATTTGAAGGACAGAACAGCCTCTCAAGGGCTCCGGTGCTTGTCTGGATCCCCTTCACATCTACAACATGCTATAAACAACCTTAGAGGAAAGCCCTTCGACCCCCTTCACTGTGTTCTTTGTGGTTCTAACACTGGGTCTGAAGAAGGAAGGAATCCTGCTCTCATGTAGGATCTAGGCACCAGCAAGAATTTAGATTTTTTTTTCATGTGGGCAGGAGCCTGTCTTTTCCCATTATAGTGCGGTAACTGTGAAAAACATGGCAATGGAGGTAGGCAGGGCTAGGAGCTTCTCTCTCAGTGTGTCCACAGTGCTGGGCCGAATAACTCCTCAGTGGCACGATCGACAATTTAAAGTAGGAACCAGTCTGGAAGCTAGATAAGAACTTTATTATTTTTGTGAAGTATGTTCTGCCTTTGCCCCACCCAAAAGTGTGATTCAAAACATCTAATTTAAAAGCGGTACAAATAAATACATAAAAGATTACAATAAAACCATAACTAAACATATTATAATTTTTTAAATAATGAATATAAGCAATTTCAAAATGAATTGGCAAAAAAGGACAATAATGACCCATTAAAATCCCATTCTCAGCCAGCGGTGAAATACTCCAATAAAAATGTCTGTGCTATCACAATGAAAACAGGGAAGAGGCCAGCCTAGCTTCTCCACGGGAGGTCATTCCTCATCTTTGGAGCTGCCATCAAGAAAGCTTTCTCCCACACATCTCAGTGTGTCTCTAAAGCTGAGTTAGCTGAGAAAAGGGCTTGCCTGATAATCTTAGAAGTCAGCCAGGCTCCTATGGGAGAATCTATGGAACACTGGAGTCTTATCAGAAATAACTAAGTCCAGTGCCACCTAGTGACTAAAGTATATAATGACAGAACCCACAAAGTGTCACCTCAATGTTTTTCATCAATTCTCTTACCTAGCAAACATCTGCAAATTTGCAAGTGCACAGCACAGAATATAGATTTCCTTCCTTCCTTCCTTCCTTCCTTCCTTCCTTCCTTCCTTCCTTCCCCTTCCTTCCTTCCTTCCTTCCTTCCTTCCTTCCTTCCTTCCTTCCTTACTTCCATGACCTATGTAGACAAACTGACAACACCCATGCACAAGAGGAAGGTAGCTGCATGGGGAAAAATATCATTTACTCTATACTGATATAATGATGTGCTGTGCAAGAGCATCGAAATACAACTAATGCAAATTAAATAGTTCAGTTCTGCATAATGAGAACCGTAGCTTTAATATCAAACATAATCTTTTGCTACTTGTTCAAGAGACAGCAGTTGACAGTTTTTCTTAATGAGTTTTTTCATCCATAAATCTTGAAAAGCATATTTTAAAAAGTTTAACAATGATTTAGCAAACCATTAACTCCCCCACCCTCTCCTCTGCCAGCCACCTTCCATACTTAGATGAATGAATTATAGAAAAAAAGGATTGTATCAGCAGTCTATATTGACATATACAGACTTTTAAATGAGGGGGAAATTTTCAGTTGGATAAAAATTTTAGTATCAATAAAGATAATTTGGGGGAGGTTTCAAACTTCGTTCACACATCATTTCCACACTACTTGGATATTTCATGGGGCAGTTACAATTTGCACTCACTCCACAATCCACTGATTAATGGATGGCTATGACTGGGGAGGAAATGCATTGCACACATTTGAAAAATGTGGATGGAAAAATGTATACATTTCAAAGGAGCACAAATGAAAACTTAAGTAGTCATTGTTTAGTTGTTTAGTCGTGTCCGACTCTTCGTGACCCTATGGACCAGAGCACGCCAGGCCCTCCTATCTTCCACTGCCTCCCGGAGTTGTGTCAAATTCATGTTGGTTGCTTCGAAGACACTGTCCAACCATCTCATCCTCTGTCGTCCCCTTCTCCTCTTGCTGTCACATGTTAGTACTGTAAATACATGTTAGTAAATGGAAGAAATTTATAAATTATCCAAATGCCATGTGTCATTTGCAATGTGAATATATCAAAAATATGCAGATAATGGGATGGTTTTCATACCATAAAAAAGAGCAATGGAACCTAAACCAAACATGAAGGTGTGAAATATCAGTGAATATCGACTTTACAGGTGTGCACATCTCTCACTTGATCTGCATCCGGCCACTGCTTAAAGATATCCTATGAATGTATATCCTTATGCAACCAAAACCTTCTTTTCTCTCCTCCAACATGATGAATCTACCAACAGGGAGACCCATTTTGGAATTACTCTGGCACACAACACAGTTCCTCTCTTATGACTCACTTCTGCAGTTTCCATAGACCAGCATCAGTTACGATCAAAAAATGCACAAAGCAGTCAAAAGCCGGCAGATTAAGCTTCTAAAAGAATTTCTTCTAAGTTTGCAGAGGCTGAGACTAAGCTGAATTATTCATGTTGAATTTTGTGCAATTTTATTCTGAGCATTTCATAGAATATCTTTTACATTATGTAACTTTTAAATGCTTTTATACTTTAAATGTTTAAAGCCCACTCAAAGCCTTCAGTAGAAAGTGAGATACAATAACTACATAAACTGATAAACAAATATATGACTTTCCAAACATTGTTTGTTCTGTTGATGTTTTTAAATCTGTTTTCCCCTTATTTCCCTAGTATTGGATAAATGAATACACCTCCACACTGGGTATTGGAGTCTTCCATTCTGGAATAGAGATTTATGGCAGAGGTAAGAAGTTTCTCATAGCTATATGGGGAAATGAGTGGAATCTTTCGTTACAATTTATAAAACGGGGGGTGTTGTTGATTCTTTGTGTAGCTACTTATCAACAGGCAGAAAGTTTGCTTTTAAGGTAAGGGTAGACAACTCTGGAGACACAGGGGAGCAATTTTTTGTCAAAAATATCCCTTCAATAACTTAGAAATGGCCAAAAGAAAAGAGGGATCAAACAAGGAAGTAAGTAAATATCTACATACTTCCAATTTATTGTTCTTGTTGTTGTTTTTAAAAACACCATGCACAGTCAGCATTACAAAAACATTGACTGGCATTATATAACAAATACAAATTTTAACTAAAAACCTAAATATCTGTTAAATACCGGCACAGTATGTATGCTGTTCCTAATATTGCTGTTTTTGTAGCTCTGATGTGTGATTTCTGAGATCTGCAATTACTTATAGTGCTGCGTGAAATGTCTTAATATTGTTCCCAATGCCCCATTGACTATGGGGACCACTGAAGTGTGTTTCTTCCAGAGGTGAGATGTTTCAATTGTCAGGTCTCTGTACTTTTTAGTTTTTCAAATTCTTTATTTTCTACTCTGGCATCCCCTAGAATTGCAGCATCAATGATCCAGACATTTCTTTGTTCTATTACTACTATGTCTGGTGTGTTATGTTCAAGGTGTCTATCGGTTTGGATCCAGAAATCCCATAAGATCTTGACTTCCTTATTTTCTGACACCTTCTCTACCTGATATTCCTGTGGGTTTTTTTTACATAATGACCAGTGCACTAATTTTGCCACTCTCTCATGTCTAATCATGTAATCTGTTTATGTAATCTTTGAACATTCACAGATGAGATGTGACACAGTTTCATCTTCTTCTTGGCAGAGTCAACATTTGCTGTTAGCACTAATTCCTTGGATCTTAGCTTTCACCACATGGGTTTGCAGTGCTTGTTCTTGTGCAGCAAAAATCAAGCCTTCGGTTTCTGTCTTAAGGGTCCCCGGTTTTAGCCATGCCCCTGTTGAATTATAGCCATGCTTCTCATCAATATTTCTCAGGTGTTGTCTATGTAGTGGTTTATTTTTCCATGGGCCCAGGCCTTGTTGAGGCGGAGGGGCTTGTGTGCTTCCGTGAGGTTGAGAGCTATGCTGAAGGGTGTCCCAAACCAGACAGGTCTCAGATGAGAAGCCAGACCAACTGTGTCCAACAACCATTAATTATGATGAGAGGAAATAAACAGAAATCTATACTGAATCGGTATAGGTTTGAGCTCTGGATAGCCATGAGGAGGGAGGAAATAAACAGAAATCTATACTGGATCACCCAGGTCTTAGCTCTGGATAGCCATGAGGAGGAAAAGTGAGAGGGCTGCCAGCTATGGAGATTATGTGGGGGTTGCTTTAGCTGGGTTGGTAGCAGTGGGAAGAGAAGGTCAGCAAAAGAGAAAGAGAGTGAATTAAAAAGAGAATTCTCTCATCCACAGTGAATTTTTTCCAGCTTGGATCTACTGACAGCAGGAAAAGAGCACTCAAAGCCACTGGCCAAAGATTAATTAGGCTGGGATTATTCCTGGGATCACTTGCAGTTCAAGAGTTTGAAGGAGCAAGACTGTGTGTTGAATTAATCAGAGAGAGGACTTCTGTTAGGGAGGGTTGTTTGACAGTGGAATGGACTGTCTTGGAAGGTGGTGGGTTTTCCTTCATTAGAAGTTTTGCAGACTTTTAGATGGCCAGTTGTGAGAGATGGGCATCCCAATTTTGCATTCCCTCCTTTGGCAGGAGGTTGGATACAGTGACTCCCGGTTTGCCTCCCAGGCTCTACAATTCCATATGAACTACTTGTATATTAGGACTTCTCCTCAATCAAAACATGCTTCAGTCTCAAATAACTATGTTAAGAAGGAACTAAATGTCAACAACTGGCTCCTAGACCTATACATAGCTAGTCTACTACATCCTTTGTTAGCCCAATTAAGGGCAAAATTGGATAGATCTGGATTACACATCTAGAAGTAATGCTCCTTCAAGGGATAAAAGCCATCTGATTGGAACAGCAGGGTAAAAGCAGAAGTATGGTTAATAATGAGTATATAAACTGGCTTTGCAGATCTGATTGTCAAGATGGGGGGGGGCGAATGTCGTAAGAGCAGGAGATACATATTTCTCGAGTGTGTGTTTAATCTCCAGGAGAGGTCCCACCAAACATATGTGCTATTATAGTACTTGTTCAACATTAATATCAAGCATTCCCTGCTATTCTGGCTTATCCAAAGTTCAGGGCAGAAGGAAAGGACTTGCTTCCACTAGCACCATGAGGAGTAAGGCTGGTTTAAGATGTTTTGCTCCCTGAGGTAACAAACAAGGTGGCTACCCACTTCATTTCACACACGAAAACCAACTGAATCTTTCTTCAACACTGATGATCTTCTACTGTGGCTGAAGCCACCAGGCTAGCTTGGGGAGTACAGGGCAGGCCACAAGGCACTCAGCTCTACCCTCCTCCAACAGGATCTAGCCATTGCCCACTGTACCCAGTGGTAGGTTTGGCTCTGATGAAGGAAACGGGAACAAGACCAAGTAAAGGTAGAGCTGGATAGCCTGCCTTCGTTTGAATATTGAAAAATGTTGGCATAGACAAATTGGGGGTTGCCTTTAGCGAAGCAGCAAAATGTCTTGGTTTAACCCTGTCCAAAGCACCTTGGACCTGCCCAGAAATTATCTGAGGTTGATAGCAGTGGAAGTTCTGACTGCTTAGGGGATTTAGGAAGCAGGGTAAGCTCCACAGAAGCTTGTGCTGTTAATCACACATTTATTAGTCACTAAGGTAGCACAAGACTTTTTTTTTGTTGCTCCCACATACTAAAATGGTTATTTCTCTGGAATTAGTTTGTGTCTACCTACTAATGTTAAAGTAGAGGAAGGCAATCCTTGGCCCTCCAAATTCTGTCAGAAGGCACTCAGCTCTACCCTCCTCCAACAGGATCTAGCCATTGCCCACTGTACCCAGTGGTAGGTTTGGCTCTGATGAAGGAAACGGGAACAAGGCCAAGTAAAGGTAAAGCTGGATAGCCTGCCTTCGTTTGAATTTTGAAAAATGTTGGCATAGACAAATTGGGGGTTGCCTTTAGGGAAGCAGCAAAATGTCTTGGTTTAACCCTGTTCAAAGCACCCTGGACCTGCCCAGAAGTTATCTGAGGTTGATAGCAGTGGAAGTTCTGACTGCCTGGGGGACTTAGGAAGCAGGGTAAGCGCCACAGAAGCTTGTGCTGTTAATCACACACTTATTAGTCACTAAGGTGGCACAAGACTTTTTTTGTTGCTCCCACAGACTAAAACATTTATTTCTCTGGAATTAGTTTGTGTCTGCCTACTAATGTTAAAGGAGAGGAAGGCAATCCTTGGCCCTCCAAATCCTGTCAGACTACAACTCCTTTCATTCCTAGTCATTGATAGAGAATTATGGAAGTTGCAGTCCAACCTCTGGAAGGTCATAAGTTGCCCATCCCTGTTTTAAACTATGATCCCAGCCTATCTAACTACTATGGTCTTGTGGTCAAGGTATTTAACATGTCACCTTGGTTATTAAAAGAAAGCAAAAGAAATACTTAGAAAATTAAAATGTAAAAAATACATCAGGGTTTTAATCAGAAAATGTACACATCATTTAACAGACTAAAGCAGGCTCCAGAATGTGTCTGATTTATTTTTATTTTTACCGTCCATTTACTGGTTCATCTCAGGACTCGGTGATGAGCAATGGACAGCACAGTGCGTCTGTTTGATATGAGGTCTTGGGCTATGTTTCTGAAGTATCAGCCTGATCATTTTTATGAAAAGAGCAAGTAGGCAAGCTTGTCATTTCCTCGTGGTGAGGCCATGAGGGGATATCTCATTGCTGCTATGTGTATGTGCATTTTTTTACTTGCTCCCCTGGCTCTTTTGGTCTTTCCTAGATACAGTATCCATTCTGGCTCCATTTCATTATTTAATCTCTCTCTCTCTCTCTCTGTTCCTTGTCAGAGTTTGCCTATGGAGGGCATCCCTACCCCTTCAGTGGGATTTTTGAAATCACACCAGGCAGTGCCGTTGAACTTGGAGAGACTTTTAAATTCAAGTAAGGGCCCTTTCTTCTTGTTTCCACATTTGTAATCCAGCAGGCCACAAGCTGGCAACGAGAGTGAAGATGGGATATGAAATGTCTAAAAATTAAGGAGGCGCATGTCTAAATGTATAGTCCGTTAGTTTCAGGATAAATGTGTCTTGCTTCTGTCTGTGCCATCTTTGTTTTGATGCTGTATTTTTATACAGATGTTTGTTTTTAAAATTTTCTCAACTATGAGAAGTTCTGAACCTATAAATCTTAGAGACATATGAATTTTTTTTGTTAGAATCACTTTTTCAGCTGATGTTTTATGAAGGCTGAAAAGGTGATGTAATTCTCACAGTAGTTACTCAGGGTAAGTCCCCGTGGATACAACAGGAATTACACACATAAACAAATGTGTATTGGATTGCAGTGTAAGGCAATGAAAGTGCTGCACTTTAGGGCCACAACCCTTCCTCACAGAGCTATAGTATGTCTTATGAAGCAGTGATATCTTTTTATTCTCCAGGAAAATAATACTAAATATTTAAACCATGGACATTAAACATTTTTAAGCTTAAAATGCCAAATTGTAGTAATAGTGCAAGGTGAGACTAAAAGCTGGTTTAAAACCAGCCTTCTCTAACCTGTGCCTTCTAGATGTCTTGGCCTTTATATATTGCATTGCAGCTCCCAACATGAGATGGCAGTAGGTGTAAATTAAGAATATTCAGAGGGCAAATGTATTAAATTATTTATTTAATAGCCTTAAATTATTTATTTATTTGGTTATTTATTATTTTGTCTCATTTATAGGCTGCTTTTCTCCTGAAGAGGAGATACAAGGCAACTCACACTGTTAAAAGAAGGAAAGCAATGAACTACACATTAAAAAGCAATTAAGCTACAATAATGATTGAAAATACATTAAGTGATTTAAAATATTTAAAGCAAAATAAAAACCAGCATCAAGGGGCTCAGTTATTAAAAGGCTGCCTGAAGGGGTGTGTCTTCAACTTTTGGCAGGGAGATAAAACAGAGGGGGGCCAACCTAATCTCCCAAGGGAGTGCATTCCACAACCTAAGAGGGCCACAGAGAAGGCCGTCTCCTGTGTCCCTATCAAATGTGCCTCCACAATGGCAGTGGGACTAAGAGGAGGGCCTCCTCTGAAGATCTTAATCTTAATATTACATTAATAAAATGTAACTAGCTTTACTTCTTGAATCAGTCTATTGCATTCGCTAGGACTACTTCCATGGCTCAGTGTGCCACACAAAGAATCACAGACAGTTTATGAGTTGAGCTGGGGGCAAGATATCCTGGCCATTCTATTGAATTTCTCCAAGGAGCCACCTTGGGTGCTTCCGAGGACAAATGCAAGGTAAAAATATTTTAAACAAACAAATAAACTAATTAATTAATTAATTTAGGGGTATGCCTATTGCCATTCCTGATGTGATCCACAAGTTACTTCTGTGAAGAACATATACGTATTTTTCTCCTTTGTGGCATTTTTGTTGCCACAGCTTGTTTCCTTTTATCCTATTGTATGTCTCCTGGTTCTTGACTGTTACTTCTTTTCTTAACAAAAACAGAGAATCCATTGCCTTGGGCACCACGGACTTCACAGAAGAAGATGTGGACAAAATCATGGAGGAACTGGGCAAGGAGTATAAAGGCAATGCCTACCACCTCATGCACAAGAACTGCAACCACTTCTCAGATGCTCTGGCTGAGGTTGGTTCATCTCCGTTCTTTTTGTTTTCTTTTTTGCAAGCTTAGGACTGCATGCTTCAGGATTGTCCGGCAATGCTCATGTAACATTTTGGACCAAAACAACTCCGGCCATTCACAAGTATACGATCAGAGCATGGCCACAATCTATATAGTATTTACAAATAACACAAGTAACTTTTTTGACTACAGTTCCCACAACCTCAGACCACATGGTCAGTGGCTATGCTGGCTAAGGCACTAAAGAACCAACTTCCCCAAGTTCTGATACACACTCATGCATCAGCTAATGTACAGCTTGCCTGGAACCAGATGTAGCTTGTACTAAGCCATTGTTAACTATCCCTTGTTAACTATCCCTTAACTATCCCTTTTCCATCTTTTCAGAGTTCAAACTGAATCTGGTGCACCTTTATGAATAGTCCAGATACTGTGAAATAGCTTCACAGCCTACATTTTCCCAGTAACTGCTATAGCATGAACAAAATATGTGATTTGATCCCTAGGATTCTGATTTTAGATGCCAATTTATTGTAGATTCTCATGGTCTCATTTGCAGAATTCTAAATGGGGTCCAGCTCAGACAATACCATCTTTAATTTGTAGTCTTCCCGTGTTTCCCTGCCACCTTTTCCATCTTTTCTTCATTTCCTGTAAGAATCTGTTAGGACGAGAAAGACAGAATAGCTATGTAGAAGGTCTCTTGATGTGTGGCCCTCTGGCTGAAAGCCTCAGTCTGGCAAGTCTTAAGGATACCCACTTTGGTCTAAGAGCAAAAACCAATTAGCACAAAAACCTTTGACCAGAAGGGAACTTGGCATTTTCTTTATGTCTGCTGCTCTCCTTGTTGATGCTGTTCTCAAGATTGGGGTCAGGACTGTTTCAGTCCTGAAGGCTGGATTGTATACTGGATCAATCCGGGAGAAAGATTATTCCCCAAGGCCAATGCAGTAGGACTAGTGACATGGGGGGGGGGAATGTCCTGTCTCTAAATTGCAGCCTTTCCCCCAACATCGTTAGGCTCTGATCCATCTTACGTTTCTCCAGACCAAAGAGAAGAAAAAAGTTCCATGCCCAGATAAAAGGATTCACCCAACACTTGGCCAATTGGGACAATACAAGGAGGCCCTCTGTTCGGTTGCCTTTGACCACAAATAGGAAATAATGAAGAAGTCTTCCTTATCTGCTGCTCACCCTCCAAGTAGCACTAGACCCTCACAGGTCTGACCAGAATAGTGAACAGCAAGAACAGCTGCCCCCGCCCACCCAAACTGGGAAGACCAGTAATATGCAAAGGAACCACTCCTTTCCAAAGGATAGGAGTTGTCAGAAGGGGACAAGCTTTTCCAAGACTCTGCATAGGCTGGACTGGGAATCTCCATAGGCTGGATGAGGCCCAAGTGGGATGGAGGTATTCCTCCCCTCCTCAAGATGAAATCTCCACAATGAAATGGAGACACACATTTCCTTTTTTGAAAGGCATCCTTGGTGAAAATACAGATCAGGGCGAAAGAGTTGATATACCCCTTTAACCTCCTCCTCACACACACACACCACATGGTTCTTGCCTTTCAACTGTGATATATTTCAGATTTGTATGTGCAATCTATATGAAGTGTCATAGAAAAGGTCATAAACCGTTATTCCCTCAAAGCAGCCTTCCATTCCCTGAGTTATTTATGTGTCTCAGGACAGCCATGAAATTGTTACCACTTTTAAAAACATAATGAGAGTAGGAAAAATGTAAAGGCCAAATCAGTTCTGACATGCCTGGCAATCTCTAGGGCCATAGGTGGACATACGACAGAAAAAACATAATGAGAGTAGGAAAAATGTAAAGGCCAAATCAGTCAGTTCTGACATGCCTGGCAACCTCTAGGGCCATAGGTGGACATACGACAGAACGTTTGACAGCCAGGCATACATATGACACATGACACTGTAACTGTACCTCATGAAACCTTAATAGCCCCAACTGCTTGATGGGTCACCTGTTATTCACTTTTCTGGTGACATCCCACCACCTTGCTTCTTGTAGTTTCAGCCTTATGTTTGTGAAGGTAAAGACAATTTGGAATACTGGTATGTACAAAAACAGCCACGGAGGGTGTGGAGGAGGAAAGCAAGTGGAAAGGGAACAGGTTTAGGATACTTCTATGGACTCTCCTTCCCTGCCAGATGCATATACTCCCCTCCCCTCCTAAGGGGACTTTGCAAGGGAAAGGGGACTTTCATTGCACACGGCTGAAAATGTGGCTGTACTTTAAGAGACTGTATTACTCAGGTACCATTGAGATAGACCTCCTCCAAAATCCTTCAGAGGAGAAATGGGCTGTGTAGGCGTGTGATGTGTTCCTTTCTTATAGAACTCTGTGGGAAGTTGAGAGACATTTACGCATCTCAAGACATATTCTAAATTGCCACATCTTCTCTCCCATTCTTTTTGAAAAGAGCCAAATAGAGATATTTTAATTTGGGAGTTATTAGATTTCAGTACAGCATTCAAGAGCAGTCATCACATTGAAGGCTTCCTTACTCATCTGTATGTTGTCTTGGACTGAAGTGATCTGTGGCAAGTGTTAGCATCTTAGCAAAAATACCAGAAACTTCTCATGGCACTCTTACAATGATGCTCATTTGGGGCATTGTATTACACAGTGGTTTTCCATTTGTCATCCAAGCTGGCAGGCAGTGGACCTGGACAGTTATGAAATAAATACTCAAACACACAAACACTGGAAGTAAAACAGGCCGTACCTTTATTGGTAACAGCTCCCACTAGTGCTGGTGCTAGCATGGAGGATGAGTCAACATCAGCTGACTGAGTGCCAACGGATGTTATAGCAAAGGTAACTTGAAAAAGGAGTTAACCACTTGGGTATCTGCCACTGTATGGTCCCTTCCAGCATCCCTAGAGTGGAAGAGTTTCATGGTCTCTCCACCTCACCCCCTTAAAAGGAATCTGCTAGGGAGTACAGCTACATTTCAAGCACCTGCCCAACTCTACCCCGCATCTGACCTGATCTGTCCTCATGCTTCCAACCACTTCCAACAAAGCTATAACAAAATACACCAAATGCACAAGGGGGGGGAGTGGGTGAGTGGGAGAAACTCCCAAACCAAATAAAGGCCCCCAGGCTGATGTGTCCCCTTTTAAAACTCCAGAGACGGTCCATAAAGGGGGGGGGGGAGTGGGTGGGTGGGAGAAACTCCCAAACCAAATAAAGACCCCCAGGCTGGTGTGTTCCCTTTTAAAACTCCAGAGACGGTCCAGATTCAAATAATCCAATCTGTACCACTTGTGGGAGAATCTGGTTCACCTGATTGGCTGGGGCTGTTGTCCCAGGATCCTCCATGCTGCTGTGCTGCCTCTTGGAAATGAGACAGCCAACAGCCTCCAAAATGGTTGCTGCTACAACACCCTCATCTGCACTTCTGCCTGGATGATAAATACAGCCCCTTCAGTGAGTCAGGGAGCTGTTACAGGTAAAAAGCTAAGGCACTGAATTTTCACCGAGCCCACTTGTAACTGTCTCTTTAAAACAAAAGCTAGACAGCCTAACAAAAGGAAGACCTTCTTTAGAAAACCCACAGATTGACTTTTGCACCTGTCTGCCTGCATGAGGGTCAAGTTAGATGATACAGTTTGAACATCATCAGGAGCAGGTGTTCATTAAATGCTGAAAGATACCTGTTTGTTCTCTGCTCCCTCTCTTGCATTTGAGCAACCTTTGTTTTGTGATTAGCCCTAGTAAGGTAAACATGGACATAGTTTGGCAGTTTGATCGTCCAGGCTCATATTTCTGAAGAAGTCACACTGTTGAAAGAAAAACAAATGAATAGTTTCCAATATGGGCTTATCACCTCATCCAGTTTGACCCGGAATGATCCTGTGCATAGATCAGGAGCAATTATTGTTCTTTAAATATTTTTGTTTTTCACCTCCCATAATCCCTCATCGTTGGCTAGGACTGATGGGACTTGCCCCTTGCCCAGCCAGAGGGACCTGTAACCACCAGAAATAATATTCTGATAAGTTCCACTTCTCACCCCGCCTCCACCTCTATGCTCTGAATTTTCTCCAGTGAGTAACAGCAACAAAATGGTTTGGGAGAGTTCAACGCTAAAGCACGAGTTTTGCAAGCTAAACGTTTCAGTGTTCAACTGTCAACAAGAATGTTGTCTGAGAAACCCTTGAGAACCATTGCCAGTCATAAGGGACAATCTTGAGCTCTATGGACCAATGGTCTAGTTCAATATAAGGCAGTTTGATATTGTTATGTTGTTATCCCCTTTTTTATCAACCCCTACATTGAATTCATGTAATGGTTATGTCCATCTGAAAAAGCAAAAATTATATTTAACAGGTAATAATTCCAGAGATATATCAGTATGATTTGCCGTTCTTTGTTTTGTTTTAAAAACAGAATGACCCCATCATAAGCGTAGGCCAGCTTTCCTTAGCCCGGTTCCATCCAAGTACAGTGGTGCCTTGCATAGCGACGATAATCGGTGCAGCAAAAATCGCTGCAAAGCAATTTTGTCGCTATGCAATTTTAAAAAGCCCATAGGAATGCATTGAAACCCCTTTAATGCATTCATATGGGCTTCAGACTCACCTTTAAACAAAAATCCTCCACACGGTGGATTACTCCATTTTCGCTGCCCGGTAAGCGAGGAATCCGTCCCAAAAAACAGCAGGCGGCCATTTTTTTTACCCGGTGGCCATTTTGGAACCGCTGATCAGCTGTTAAAAAATCATCACTTTGCAATGATCGGTAAACGAAACAGGGATTGCAAAACAATTTTGCCCATTTAAAACATTGCAATGCGATCGCTATGCGATTTCGTCATTAAACGGGGCGCCTGTTAAGCAAGGCATCACTGTATGTTAGACTATACAACACACTGATTGTTGTAACAAGAACAGTAAACAATAAGAGAAATGAAAGAGGAGTCTTACATCTAAAATTGAAGTAAAAGCAAAAGTTCTGCCTACCACA